AGATTCCAGAAAGCAAACAAGCAAGATTCCTTACACCATCTCTGAGAAATCCAAGACGAGAAAGATGACCAAGACATCAGGGTTTGGCTCTTTTTTCAAGGTGCAATAATCCGTTTCTTCATCCTGTCGAAAAAGCAGAGAGATGCTTACATGATGACTGTCCCTTATTCGATAGCACCGGAATGGCTTCAGTAGGCGCATGACACCTCTTAGAAATGCAGACTTAAGATTACTCAGGGTTAGTTTACAATCACGCTGCATTCGAAATCAAGCTTTGTCAAAAGAGACATATCCTATTCGTATGTTTTTAATACATGCTGTCTTTGCAGGAAAAAAAAAACATGCCACCATACTTTCTTCTTACCAGATAAGTGGAGAATCCATCATTCTGGGTTCGATCTAAACTGAAGCCCACCTAAAAACAGATTTTTATCAAAGCGTTAATATTCAAGGCCACCAACACGTTTTGAAAAAGCCTTTACATCTGTTCCACCATGCAGTAAAATGGGACATCAGTTTGCAGTCTAACAAAAAGGGGATGCTGAGGGGAAACCGTTGATCATTTAATGAGACAAAAAGCACCCCCTGGTTTTGAAAAGGACATTTTTAAGTTACTCTTTCTGCATTTTAGCCTTCCCAGCCTAGGCAAAGCAGCTGCCCTGAGCGGCTGGCAATTTACAGAATGAAGCTTTCAACACAGAGAGTGGTAGATTGTGAAAACTTGTGGACTGATGCAGAGCCAGTTAAATCCATCTTGAGAAATAACATTGTCTTTGTTAGTAGTTTATCTATCAGGAGTGTGCTTCAACGTGACATCCCTTGTAAGCACTTGGAGTTAGCTCGGTGGAGGGGGGGGAGTTCCCCACAATCCTATTCTTCTTGGAAAGAATGTCCACATTTGCAAATCCACAGTGGCATCAAACAGGTCTTCTCTGTAGCCACCCCCATGTTTTGGAACAGCCCCCCCCCAAATCTGTACAGCTCCCAACCCTGTTATTTATTTCATAAAGCCTTGAAAGCCTGT